CCACAGCCAAAGGGAAACATTACACTGTAAACCTTCAAGCTCCTTTTTAACTGCTGAGGGTGGGGGGGATTTGGAACTTGGGGGAAAACAAACATGCACCGAGGCTTTCATTTTCTTTCCCATTCCTTTCTTCCATTTATTTCTTTCTTTGTTTCCTTCTCTTTCTTTGTTTCCCTTTCCCCCATTTCTTTCTTTCCCTTTTTTCAATTTCTTTCCCTTTCTGGGAGCCCTCTATCCATGCCTTGGCTAGGCATCAGGGAGGGAGAGGGGGGTGCATCTCAGTGCTGAGCATATTTTATTTTTATTTTATTTCTTATTTGTTGTGATGTCAGTGCACTTTTTGTGATGTCACTAAAAATGTCCTAGCTATGGGCCTGGGTGGGGCACCATCAATATAGACTCCAGCCCATCCAGGGAGGATTGTGTTTAACCCCTGTTCATTTATGCCCTGTTGGTTGGTAAGTGTATGCTTACTCTTACAGTTGTGCCTTATTCATTTAGTGTGTGTTTGTGCTCAATAATTGTGTAAATAGTAAAATAAATTATTCTGTTTGGGCCAATAATCTGTGTTGTCCTCCGACCCCACAGTCTCCCCCGCACTGCAAAATACCAAAGGGAGGGGGTAGCCCAGGGAAGCAAGGAAAGGCCAGACCCTTGGGTTGCCAACTTTCCAGGGATCCCCCAAAGATTGGGGATTCCATCTCCAAATAGGGAGATTTGGCCACAGGGGTCTCACTGTCCCTCTAAAAAGGCAGTGACAATTCAGTGAGTGGTGGCAGGGAACGTAAGGAGTGAGTTACGCCCATAGGACAAGGGTGGAAGGCGAAAAGCTGAGTTGTAAACTGGAGCCCGTTTCGCCACAGTAGGCAGTCAAGCTTGGTTCAGACAAAGGAAGTAAACTCTTCGCAGGCCTTTGTGAGGAACTCATTGGGGCCAGTCCTGAGCTAGGGTAGCCAGCTCCAGGTAGGAAGATTCCTGGAGATTTTCTGGTAGAGTCTATGGAAGCCACGGTTTGGGGAGGGGAGAGATCTCAGCTGAACAAAATGCCATAAAGTCCACCTTCCAAAGCAGTTATTTTCTCCGGGCAAGAGAAATCTGTTGTCTGGAGTTCAGTTGTGATACCTGGTGATCTTCAGGCTCCACCTGGAGGTTGGCTACCCTGTGTTGGAGTCAGTGCTTCAGAGCAGGGTCTGCTAGATCCAGGTTCTTGCTGTAGAAGATGAGTGGGTGATTTTGGACCAGTCACAGACTTTCAGCCTAACCTACCTCACAGGGTTGTTGTGCAGATCAAAAGGGGGAGAGAAGAATGATGTAAGCTGCTTTGGTCCCCACTGCGGAGAAAGAGGCTGCAGGGAGGGGTGTGGAGATGGAAAGCTGAAGTCGGAGGGGCTTATGAGCCTTATTTGTCATTTTAAAACCTTTTAATTATGTAATTATTTCTGTGATTTTGTAAAAACATCCTTTATTATTATTTTTAATAAAAATTAAAAGACAATATATTTTCAAATATTAAAAAGGCGTATATATTTTAATTTTTTTCTGAGACCAGCTGATGTAATTTAAAACAGTAGGAGGGCCTCTGGGTTTTGTGTAGCTTAGGGCCTCAGCAAGTCTAAATCCGGCCCTGATGCAGATACTCAGGTCCTTAAAGGCCAAAGAAATTCAGATGCAGAAATGTCACTTCACAGACTACAACTTCCCTAACATTATGGGAATCTCTCTGACCATCAAGTCTTTACACAGGGTAGAAGAACAATCAGCCCTGACAATTCCTAGACAACCCAGTCAGATTTCAGCATAATGTGAAAGAAGCATGCAATTCCATTAGAAGGTGGGAGAAACTGCCCTATGTGTTGCAGACTTTGAGCATCCGTCCCTCAGGTGCACATCTTTTTCTGGTAGGGTTGCCATCTCTGTGATGGGAAATACCTCATAATTTCATGGTGGAGACTGTGGAGGGGCAAAATTTCAGCAGAAGATGGACCTCAGCAGGGTATAGTCCCATAGAGTCCATCCTCCATAGCGTCCATTTCCTGTAGGAGAACCGATCTCTACAGTCTGGAGATGAGCTGCGGTTCCAGCATATCTCCAGGTCCCACCTGGATATTGGCAACCCTGCAACTTTACTAGTTTGCTATGCTATTTTAATAATCGGCGAGGTGCACCCGAGCTCTAAGAATCCCTGCTAACTGCCCAAATAAACTCTTTAAGAAAAAAGCTAGCTTTTAAATCTATGAAGACTAGGGATGGGCACGAACTGCAAAAAATGGGATTTTAAATGGGACTTTAAAGGGACTGCACAAGAAAGCCTGAAACAGCTGAGTGATGGCGAACAGAAAGCAGGGGTTAAACCCTGCTTTCTGCTCTATGAACCGCCACAAACTGCTTCAAAAGTTTGTGGAAGTCACAAACCTCTGTTCGCAAACCACGAATGGGGCACAATTCATCTCAAATTTGGCTTCGTGGTTCAATTTGGGCCTATCTCTAATGAAGACAGCCTTCCTGTAATTGTTGACAGGGATAAATATGTAACTATGGAGGCTCTACAGAGACACTGCCTTCACCTTCCCATTGAACATGTCTTTCAGTCTTTCTGCAAATCTTGCTTCTCACTCCCCTGCTCAAATATGAGACGGTGCCTTAATTATTGCCTTTCTCTCCTACCAGCCTTTCCAAGCACCTGAAAAGGCCTGCTCTCCCTATAGTGTCTCTTGTTTTGGTGGAATAATTATTTTGAATATAAACGCCAGATACAGCAGCTGCTGACACATTGCAAAGCCTATGCAGAAGTTTGATAGCAAGAGAGATTAGCTTACCGTTTGTAGCCAAGGGCGGGCTGCTTTGAGGAATCAAAGAATCAGTGGCCACCAGTTGTTTGGTTGGGTGGGGGGCTTTTTTCCCTGGCTCCCCAAACTCTCCTTGGTCTTTTCTCTGTTGCTTGATAAGAGACTAAAGTCCAACTAAGAGTGGAAACTGACAGTGTTCCTTTTCACAGGGTTACACCCCTTGGTGTGCTCACCAGCAACAGTCATGTGATTTCCTGTAAGCAGCCTGAGTTTTTGTCAGCCATTGCATCTATCGTCTCAGGTTGCAGGTCAGAAACTTCATTTCCTTCGGGATACTAAATGCAGGTATTCATTGCTATGAATAATTGTTTGAAAAACAGGACATGATTTCAAGAGAATCAACGATAGTAAGTAAGAAAACCATGTAAAATATTGTGGTTCTACAAAAGCAGCCTCATTTGTGGCTAACAGCGAGGGTTGTGGAGTTGCCAACTCCAGCTAGCAAAGTTCTTGGAGATTTGGGGATGGAGCAGCGGGAGGGCAGGGTTGAAGACTGGGAGGTTTTCTGCCAAAACGGGCAACTTGGTCTCCTTAAACTGGGGAATAGTTGGCAGAGGGAGAGGCTGCACAGTCTGTGGGGGGGGGAGAAACAGAGAAAATGAACGGAAACAGAAAAGAGTGTAGAGAGACACATCATAAAGAGAATACACACTGTGGGGTGCAGAGAGGAAAAAAAGAGGGAAGATCCATAATGAGGGGGCATCTCTGGGACCGTCTCCTTAACTCGTATCACTTCTGCCAGTGGGGACACTCCGAGAAGGGTATCTAGAATAGAACGTTTAGTGAGTGAGCAGAGGGGAGACCATATATCAGGTACCAATTATTTAGAGTTCTCAAGTCAAAAAGCACTACTTTGAGACCTGGAAACAGACAGTGGAGCCAATGTAGATCTTGCTGAGTGCCCTCTCTTGCGTTAAAACATTGGCCTGAGCATTGTGAACCAGTTGTGATTGCCAAGAAATCTTCAGTGGAAGACCCAGATATAGGAAATTACAGTAGCCATGCCTCGCTGCCCCCAAGAGACCTCTCACATTTCTGAGAGATTCAGGCTACAGGGCACTGACAGAAAAAGGAATCGATAAAGAAAATGCTAAAAGTGAGTTAGAAAGGTAAGGAAAATGTTTTCTGTTTAGTGATACAACTACAAGAGACTTGTGTTGTACATGAACACACACACCTTACAAGGAACTTTATATCCAAGGTCATCTCAGTGGTTGCAGTGAGGTGGATGCTGCCTAAAAGGGGAGGTGGGGGATGAACAGCAGTGGAACTGCTTTTGCCCCCTTCCACCACACACAGCCAGCTGGGTGACCTTGGGTCAGTCATAGTTCTCTCAGAGCTATTCTCTCAAGAGCACTCCTCTCAGTGCTCTCTCAGCCCCACCTACCTCACAGGGTGCCTGTGTAAGGCCCCCTATATGCCTCTGCAAAACCAGAGCCACTGGCAAAAAACACTCCTTATCATCTCTTACCCACCAACACTCTCTCTGTGTAAGTACAGGCCACGTCTGTCCTAGAAGTAGACAGAACATGGCCTAGAAATATACACTAAAGCAAGATGGAGCAGAACCAAACAGTGTTTCTAGCAGCAAAAGGAACTTGCTATGTTGGGAGGGCAGGGGTGTCGAACTCATTTGTTATGAGGGCTGGAGCTGACATAAATTAGACCTTGTTGGGCTGGGCCATGTGTGTCATAAAATGTAATGCCAGGTAGCAAAGATATAAACTTTATAAAGGACACAGACAAACACAATTAAAGATTTTTTAAAACCTGGCGGTGCGGCGCTGCGCAACAGGCGCGTCCCTTGGGAGCTCCCAGGGCAGCCCGACTCGCGTGTGCTTCTACGGAGCCCCCCGAGGTTCGAGGTGGCCCCGCTTGGTCTCCTGGAGGGAGACCAAGAGCATGAGGCTTGATTGCCCCCCCCGTTTCCCTGGCAAGGACGGGGGGTGCCCGGTTTGCCCCGAAGCAGGCGCGGCGCGGAGAACGGAAACATGGATGCCATGTTCCCGCCGAAGCAGCAGCCAGCCGTATTTTTAAACTCCTTATCTTTCTTTTAACACACGGGTGCTTCACAACGAGGAATTAGATACAGACCTCCCCCCCTCTGGACCTTGTTTCAAACTTATAGAATGACGGATATTTACAACGAACAGCTCTTACTGCCCCTATACCGGACTTTCCAACTGGTGCCAGAAAGCGGCCGAAATCATTAACGACACGGGAGAACGAGAAGTGCTGAGGGGGTAAGAGATATTTACTTTATGGACTTACCATCTTCTTTTGTAACTGTAAGACGACCAAAACTATTAAAATACTTTTGGACAAAATAAAAAACATAACGGAAGAAGGCGGAATTAAGATAAGGAAAATGGCGGCGTTTCTGCGTGAGGCGATAACAGCTGAACTCAAATCAGAACGTTTCCGGGAAATTTTAAGGAAGGAATTGGAAAAGTCACTTAATTTGGTTTGGAACAAGATGTTGAATGAATCCCAAATTCTGTCTGTTGAGGACGAAGATATTAAAGAACGGATAGAGACGGTACAAGGGCAAAGTGACGTTCAGGATACCCAGGAGAGTAAACAGGTGATTGAACGGGCTGAAATGCAGCACGACAGTCAGCTCTTGGCGGTAGAAGAAGAATCAAAAGAAATAGATTCGCTAAAAGATATGACTGGGAAAGGAGACAAACCAAAACTGCGAAAAGCAGGGAAAAAGAGTTCTAAGATTCCCAAAAGAAAAAAGACAGTTGCAGGCTCCAAACAAAGGAGAGAGGATTTAACTGACTATGGAAGAAGCGGCTCGGGTACTTCTCTAGAGGAATACAAAAATTTACGACATTGGAAAGAAAATTTGGAAAATGAAACTAAAAAGGAACTGGATTACAATGTTATTGTGCTTTATGAAAAGATTTTAAGCATTTACAAACAGGCTGAGGAGAGTAAGATGTTATTGCATTTAAATGATGGTAAACCTGAGCTATATGTGAGTACAATTGGATGTCTGCAAAAAAAGTGGCCCCCAAAAAGTTTACTTTTCCTGTTCCCTCAAATATAAATCTTTTCCTCGCTCCTTTTTTCTGTACACCTTTTCTTTTATTAATTACAAAGCCGTTAGGAATATAAACAGAATGGGGAGATTTATGAATGAATTGATTTGGTTGCCAGTTACTAAATATACAAGTTATGAAGTAGAAGACTATGAATTCCATCATAATTTTTTTTTCTTTTCTTTTTTAATTAATTGTTGAAGTCAGGCCTTAAGATAAAGACATAGGATGACTCCGAAGTTAAGAGGGAATCTCCATGATATGAAAATCTGAACAGCAGATAATTATGATTTATGAATTATATATGAATTATATATGTTTATTTAACTGAATGAAAGGTAATTTAGTTTTTTGTTTTTCTTAAGAGCACAATTAAATATAATATGTGGCAAAGGTGATTTGGAATGAGGGGGGTGGCCGCAGATGTATGCCTTGAAAGGTTTATTGGTGTCAATGAGTTTTCTTAAGGTAATGTTTGACTAATTGTGAAATGGAATGAAATAATGGAGATTATTGTGGGTGAAGGGTATTGGTTAATGTCTGTATGTGTATGTGTATGTGTATGTTCTTTAATGTTGATGTAGAAAACCAATAAAAAATAATAATTAAAAAAAAAAGAATTATAGTTGTTCTACAACAAATCCTCACAATCCTCACATTGCAACAAATCCTCTCAATCAAGCAGCACCTCTTTGTAGCAAGGATGGTATCTGTGAGATAAATAACTACAACTTCCTACAAAAGAAATGTGCAGGGTGAACTTGGTCTGGACACACACTCTCAGCCTAATCCACCTCACTGGCTTGTTGTTATTCCTCCTCTAAAACAGTTCACATTGCTTTCTTGCTGAGAAAGACTGGATCATGAGGGCATGAATACAGTAAAAAGGGGGAGGGAACCCAGTTGCACCCAGGCACCCAACAAAACATACACAGCATAAGGAGCCCAACAAAACACACACATAGTAGCAGGGCACACAAAAGCTCATACCTTGAACAAAACTTTGTTGGTCTTAAAGGTGCTTGGAATTTCTCCCTCGCAAGTGAGGCAGCCCAGGAAAGCAAGCTCTCACTCGTTCCCTCCCTCCCTTCTTTCAGGAAGGAGCCTCAGCCAGTGGAAGGGAAAAAAGGCTTTTGTTTTTCTCCTGCAGACAGGCCTGGATACAAGCTCTGGCTCATTCCCTCCATCCCCCTTGGAGGAGGAGAAGGGGGAGGAGCCTCAGCCAGTGTTTTAGCAGACTCTCTAAATTACACAGGAGAGGCTTGCCTATCTATCTCTCTTGTTCAATTGAGAGAGTCTGGTAAATCAAGCTGTAACGTGGCAGTAGCAGCAGAACTGAACGAGGAAGGAGGAAACAACCAGGTCCTTGCGGGCCGGATTGGGGCCCCCCGAGGGCCTGATCCAGTCTGCAGGCCTATGCTGAGCCAAAGTCGGGAAGATGGGCAGCGACACCCTATCCAATATTTATGTAGAAAGTTGCTCGACTGTGGTCACACACACTAAATAATCCACTTTCAGCGCACTTTCCAGCTGGATTTTACTGCGTAAACTGGCAAAATCCAGTTGGAAAGTCTGTTGAAAGTGAATTATTTAGCGTGTGTGACCACAGCCTAAATTTTCCCACCATCCAAAACAAAGAGATATTTCTCTCTCTGTTGAGGCCCCCAGGAAAGAAGAAATCCGATCGTCTCACCTGGCTCATCTCTTCCTGGTGAGATCAACCTAAACAATACTCTGTTCCCACAACTGGGTAGCCTTTTCTTTCCAGCAATCAGGGATCATCAGTGGATGGTTAACTTCTCATATACCTAGCCACATTCCGACAGAAACATTAACAGTCCCCATTTGCACCACGAAATCCATTCTTCCACACAGTGTCAGCAAGCTGCCAATGCATTCTGTGTATGCTCTGTGAACCCTGTCTGTGTTCTCCTATTTTCTTTTCCCCCCTCTGGACGGCCTCACCCCGATTACGCATGCTTGATGATTGTTGCTTGTTAGATGCATTCCACTCTATGA